CGGGCGTATTGCTAACCATGCTAAGAAACATTGGCACTTATATCATGTTGTTAAGTAATTGCAATACAATTATGCACAACCGAGCTGTAACTAGCCGTTTTCACGAAGGCCATCTGGTACACATTCGGTGCACATCTGGTGCAGATTAGGTGCAGATTTGGTCAAATTAGGTTCAGTGTGTCTCTTAGTAGCTATCAGCTAGGGTTGCACTAATTGCTCATATGCCTGCTTTGTCATATTATCAGAGAGTATCATCGATTAATACACTGAAATAAATTCATAAATTAAAGATATTTGCTGTAAAAGAGATTAGGTGCAGATTTGGTCAAATTGGGTGCACTCGCCGGATAGCCCGTCGTGAAAACGGCTGCTGTACAGTCTGTCTTAAAAGTACCGCGCAAAGTAACGGTGGAACCATGAAGCCTGACCGAGGAACGACCTGCTATAATTTGAGTCACCGAAGCAAGTGACATCCTCGTGCATTCCCCAGGTCAATTGGTTCGGTGACTTTCAAATTATAGCAGGCCCTTCCTCGGCCAGGCTTGATGGATCCACAGTCACTTTGCGCGCTACCAAGGCCGCCCCACACTGGACCTCGCATGCGGGCTGCGAGTTTGCGGGTTTTGAGTTTGCGGGCATAATACTAATTCATAGAGTGATTAGACCGTCCCCTTATGATAATGTCATGAATGCAGTGAAGCCGGTACTCCTTCAGAAAATTACATATAGTCGCTATACTAGCGCAACGAACCAAAATTCGACTCCAGCGAAAAACCCGCAAACCTCGCAGAACCCGCATACCTCGCAGCGAGGAAAATCGAAAGTTGACTCAAAATCAAATTTTGGAACGCGATGCAAGGTCACTCACAAGCTAAAAACATGCAGACTCGCTTGCTAGATGGTAGAGGGGGTCACTCAGCTTAGATTATATCATTTGATTTGGAAGAAATCTGAAAACCCAAAAACTCGCAACCCGCATGCGAGGTCCAGTGTGGGGCGGCCTCAAGACAGACTGTACATATGTGGAAAAAACGTTTCATCATGGTTATTTGGTCCCATGCCTCTACTCAGCCACGAATGTTATTAATATATTTAACCACGAGTAGGTAGAACAAATCTGTTAAACGTCGAGCCGATAGGCGAGACGTTTAAAATATTTTTCCTTTTCGAGTGGTTTAATAATTTTATCCCGTACCGGCGACATCTTTCGGGCGCTTTAAGATAAAAAATACATTTCATATAAAAATACAACATATTTCAGACTATAGACGAAATGTCTACTAGACGTTTAACAGTTTATTAATCGTCTACACAATCAGTTAAACGACATCTATTCTCTCTTTGCACGTGAAGCAATTGTAAACACTGTCTACAGTGCGGGATAACAAATGTTAACCGCGCAGTAATGTGGAGATAACTTTGCTCTCATTATGTAAGTTTGTAAATACAACCCCAAAGTGCTCTGTCACACTGTCACTCGCAGAAGGTCTAGCTCTGTCATATCCTCCAGCTCGTGATCCATTTGATCGGGATTGACAGAAAGAGGCCAGGCATGCGCTGCTACGCCCGTTCAGTAGCAAATGGCACCCAAACGGACCATGTGTGCATAATCCATTACGGCACCGAAGTGGGATGTCATGCAAATGATGAGAGTGCCTAGCTGACGCTCACGCTGCCCCGTGACTGGACGACTTTTGTTATGGAAAAATGGAATGAATCGATTTGAATATATATATGAATAAGATATGTGTAATCCACTGGAGCAGCTGTGACCAAATTGGCTTGACATTGCAGTGTTGAATATCTAATTAAGCATAATCAGCCTTTATGAATACCTAAACCAACTTTGTTTGCCACTACCTCGGAAGGTAAGTAGATACTTGAAATGCCATGAAAAACTCGAAGGGCTTTTCCAAGTTAATGTGTGTAGGTAATACACGTCTGTGCGTCATTACCTATTTTACTAAAAAATAAACGGATTTCAGAGAAGAATGCCGTCAAAAATGACATGTTTGGTAAAATGGAAATGGCTATTTACTACAGCAAACTGCATGAAAACAAAATTCATGATCATAAAAATTTTACCGGCATCGTGTTTCGCCAATACATTTTGGATGAACTTGAATTTTACATGAAAAACTATCTAAAGAAGTTGAAAATTTGACCTAGGATGAAGGTCATGGACTCATCGGAAAAGGTGATTTTACATATATGCATGTAAGTTGATCCGTAAAGGTAGTTGAGCTGAAAAGCAAATCCAATGTGCTCTCAGCATCAACAGGTCATTGGTTTAATTTTTGCAAAATGCAAAATTACGATTTTAGCAATTTTGAAGCACAAAATACCACATGTCTATGCATAAAGCCTTTGCATGATATTTTTAAGTATTCCGTGTTCCTTCAACCTATTCAAACTCTTCGTCGCTACAACAAAGGTCACGATCCAACAGCCCTGCCCCGTCATAGCGCAAGTAAATATTTCATTCAGGCCTTTTTGCTTACTGCCGATTATACTATCGCTTTTTGGGGAGAGCGGGAGGGAACAATGAGTTTTGTAGCAGAGTGGCGCAGTGGAAGCGTGCTGGGCCCATAACGAAACCACGCTCTGCTAGAAGCAGTTTTGTTAGCCCGCTCATGAGTCCTGACCGGGGTGTATGAGTGCCCCCCCCCCCCTGCGGTGTTTTGTAGATATATCAAAAGTGCCTGCGCAGAGTGTCACCGTTTTTAAGTCACCGTTTTCACCGTTTTGCAGTAAAACGACTGTTGGGGTGACCAACGGAGCGAGCGAGAGGGTGGGCCTAGCACGTGTGAAATTGCGAGGGGGTACCTCCAACTAACATGTTTACTGCACCCTACTAACCAATCCCTAGCTATGCCAAATTTGAGCACAATTGGCCCAGCCGTTCGCGAGATCTGGAAGCGGCACCCTGCACTGCGCACTTGCAAAATGGGTCCCAACTGACTTGTGCACGGCAACCTACTAACTGGTCCCTAACCGTGTACCAAATTTGAGCGCCATCGGTCCAGCCGTTCTCGAGATCTGGAAACGACCCCTGCACGTGCGCACGTGCAGCAGCACCCCAACTCTGGCACATGCCCTGGAACTGCCCTTGTTACAGTTAGCAGCTTGAAATTTTCTGGGATCGTTCCCAGTTTAGTTTTAAGAACCGTCGAAAGGTTCAACATCTTAGCTTTAGCCGTTTCGGAGATGTTCCCGAAAAAAACTGAGGGATTGATGAAAAAACCCTTCCCCTGCCACCAATAGGGTTAAAAGGGCTATCGAATGCGCTTTCCTGCGGCGCTGTAGCTCTATTTGTTCCCGGGTCATCCGTCGGTGTTTCGAAAAATGCTGAAACAGACAACATATTACCTTTGATGACCTCAGCTGACCTGACCTTTGACCGGACCTAAAAAATGGCCGATGTATTTTCGTTCTGGTTCTGGTCGCTCTTTCGAATGCTGTTGACCGCGTGTTGCTGCGTGACCCAGGGACCAAGTTAAGGGGGGAGGGGTGTTCAGACACCTCCCGGCCCCGCGCAGGTTAACCTCAGGCCAAGGTCATGATCTGACTGACCTGACCGGAAAATGCCATACTGCGTACCAGTCGATCCGTAACGATAAAATGAACACATTCCAGGTATTCTCATCGTTCTACCATGTCCCCATCAAAAGTTTTCGTCGAAAAACTGCTGGTGACATTTTATGACCTAACATGACCTTCTGCTGGCCATTAGCTGCACTCAGCCCATTACATATGGGCAGAGATGCTATGATTCTAAAAATAGTTATATTGCGGTCTGGCGGTTTTGACGTGTTTGTTCAAGGCCGTGTGTATTTAAACGTTTCCCCATTTTTATAACGACTTGTTAGGTCACAAATCTGACCTGCCCCAAATCACAAAAAAAAAGAAAAATCCCAGATATAAGTAGGTACGAAATGTTGATTCTTCGGTTACAAATGTATGAAGCTGTGCGAAAAAAAACTGTTTTGATTTTCTTCGTCTACGACCGAATTTGAGACATTAGGGCCGCATGACAATGGATACCGTTTCCACGTGGGTGAAGTTTTTCATAAGTAAATTGTCCTTCTTGGTAAAAAGGTATCGCTCGCTAAATCGTCACTCCTTGAAGCATTTAACCCTTGCCCGTAAGGGGGGGGGAAGGGGTCGAGCGGACCGACCCCACCCCTCGTGTTTTCGCAAATAACTCGCGTGAAAAGCGGGCGATTGCGACGAAACTTTCACATCTTCACGTGAATCAATTTTGCACCTACCCTGAAAATTTCATGACCCTGACCCAAGTGACCTTTGACCTGTGACCTACTTTTCGAGACCATATTTGGCTGGAATCGCGATTCGGCGTATGTCGGCTCGCATTAGCCGCGCGTTTGCAGTCTATTCGTGGTTTCAACGTTCAAACATGTGATATGATGTTGCTCCCATGCATTAGGGTGGGTATAAAGGTCACATGAAGGTCAGGTCAGGTCATTGACTTTTGATGACCTCGGCTCACTTTTTCGAGATTTACATGTTCCCAGGCTAATTTTTGGAGCTGAATTCGAATATAGCAACCATTTGAACATTTACGAAGAAGATTTAACACCTTCTACGAATACCCGGCGAAGCCGCTACTGGTTGACCTGACCTGACCTGACCCGACCTGGCCTAAATGCATGAAGACATTATCTGTGATCTAACATGATATTCGTGATCATCACCCCGAAAAAAAGCATAGCAGTGACACTTTACGACGTTCTAACAGGTCCCGATTTTCCCGACTTTTGTGTCATTGACTTGACCTGGGAGGTAAACCAATGACCTAAGACCTTAAAATTGCGTGTAAGCGGCTTCCCCTCGTCACAGGCAGCACGCTCGTTTTTCCGCGAGGCTCTAGCTCAATCAGGGGCAAAACAGCAAGGGGGTCCTCTTCCCCCTCCCCTCATACGTTCGCGGCTGGTTAATCACCAATACAGGCGAGGTTTCAGCTCAATCAAACACAATTCAACCGTCTACAAGTAGATAGATGTATTAGAAAGAAATGGCACATGTCTCATACACAGCAGCTGTGTAAAACCTGAACAAAACAATACATTTATAATACGAGTTATGCAAAACATCAACACCTATTTATAGAGCATATACACGAGAAAATATGTCACTAGACGAACTGAAAAATCTTACACCCGAATCGCACACACATGCAAGTAATGGCACAGAATTGGCACAAGCAAACGATGAACATAGCATAAATACATTTTGTAAAACAAGGGAAGCAGGAAGCGCACAATTCTAACTGAAATGTCCTATCCTATCCCACACAGCGGAAAGAGAAGGCGACACATGCCCTAGATAGAACTATCAACTATTGTTACGAAGAATTCTCGTGCCATGATGCACTATTAAGGCCAATTTGGAAGACTCTTTCATAACTAACTATAGCATTTTAGCCAAGCAGCGCGCTGCATGAGGTAATCTATCCACGCATGACCGATGGAGGCACAGTTATTGTCAACACAAGATTGGTAACAGCGCGTAACGTGATATTTAGTAGACGTCTCGTCCAGTATTTATTGTATGTTGGTGGCACTGAACATTGGCACTGTCGCCGTTACGCAAGGCTATCACGAGACGAGCTGTCGTCAAGACGGTGAGGTGTGAACTTTGAGAAGAAAGAGTTAGACGTCTAGCTCTTTCTTTGACATGTTTTCACACACCCATTTGGGAATCAGCGGGTCGAGCAACTATGCATGTGACCCCAGAGCGAAGACATGCATTAGTCTGCCACCCTTCCACCAAGGCACACATCTCAACCGCCTACTAATCCGCCCTGTCCTCATATACTTCAAAACTACACCTCTGGTAAAAACACACGCATCAGACCTAGTCCCCACTGTGCCTGGGTGCCGGACCGCTGTTGTTGTCGATCACGAGTACGGGTGGAAGCCTGCCGGTTTGGTGTCAGGAAAGTGCGCCTGCATCCCGTACCCGGTCGGGTAGCCGCTCATCGCTGCTGTGCTGCCGCCGAAGAAACTGAAAATGAGGAGAGTGGAGGTCAGAAAATGGCGTCTTATGGTCCGGACTGTATATAGTGGTTTAGGGGGTTCTTAGGAAATTGGCGTTTTTCGGTGGTTGTGATAGTAGCATGAGAATCACTAAGCACTTGAGGAATGTCAACCACTAGGTACGACACACAGAACTTCAAAACGACTAAAGGAAGAAAACTCCAAGCGACTAAATCCACCCCATTTCACCCCCCTCCCCCCCCCCACACACACACACACATGGACCAGTGGCCACCCCGCTTTTTGCCATTTCCATCTAATATCGTGGTCGCTCACCTATTGTCGGTCGTGAAGCCCGGCCAGCCGGCCATGGAGGTCGGGTGCACGCCGCCGGCGAATGACGTCATACCGGCGGTGTACTGGTTCACCGATGACGTCATCTGTGACGAGGAGGCCGCCTGCAGGTAGTCCGGGTAACCGAGGGAGCTCGGCTGGGCCGTCCATGGCTGGCCTGTGGACAGAGGAGAACGGATATTAGCATTGTAGTGTAGTTGGTTAGCAAAATAACTGACAAAATAATCAAAGGAAGCATGGATATTTGACTTAGATAAAGCCAACAGCGTTCTTGGTGCTTGGCTATGTCAGCATACTTTAGAATTTCGAATGATTCGAATAATTGATTTTTTTGAATTCATGTGAATATGTTTTGGTTTCGAGCTCCTTTATCGTTTGCAAGACTCAAAGTTTGTAATAATAAAGAAAATTGCTCAACAGGCAGAAATCGCAGTCGTACCTATATCTGCTAATGTTCCAGTTATCTGACGCCATACTGGAACTAACGCCTCTCGAATTCATAGTGCGGCAGCCGGCAACCCTCTTACTTTCACTAACACCCACACAACGTCGGAACGACAGGCGGCGCACAAAACCGCTCCAACGCCTTTCATCTGACCACCAAATGCACCTCGCCACATCGTCTCGCCGTAGTGCATTCCAATCTATAGTGTAACAGTGATCCTGCTTCTAAACGTATGTCTAAGGTATCATACAGCCCCCCCCCCTCCCGATCCAAAACGCTCTTTCAAATCACGGCTGCTCAGTGCTCAGTATTGAGTGCGTCCGCAAACGGATGTGGACTAGCTATGGAAGATTTGTGAATGGTTTTTGGAGGCCTGTCCTCGGGGTACGGACGTGTTGTGGACAGACTGTGGACAAACCACTCGCCCGTCACCAGTTCCGCGGAAGGGCGCCGTCCGTCTGTCGGTCCGTCAGTCCCTTTACGGCCGTTCGCCGACTGTCAGCTCAGTTAACGGCGCCGGCCGACACGGCACTCGTTATTTACGACAAACGCGTCGACACTTTATGAGTTGCACCGAGAATTGGAAAGGCCGCCGCCTTGCGGTGCCCGCCCGGAAATTACACTAATTGCAGAGGGGACATGCGTGGCGATACGGTCGCTAACAGGGCTGATACCGCCGGAGGCGTCGCAGGAAGACGGTAGGTTTTTGAGGAAATGAATGACAGAGCAGATCGCGTTAATGATGGGATGGCACGGTAAAAGCGCCTGAGGGGATTTGAGAGGCAGGTGGCGGCTTCTTTGAACCCATGAGACTCACGGTTCCTTTGAATTGCAAGGTTCAATAAATCTTGATAAAAGCAATTTACTTTGTCGAAAAATACGGCAAGAGGAGCGAAAACGACCATGCTTAGTAAATAAATGACTAACCATATTCAATTCACACCTACCTCTATGATCACGCGGCTCAATGCTCACTTTTTCTGCATCTTCATCTCATCTCATCTCATATATTTAACACATTCATTCGAAACAGACAATCAGTGTCGCCTCGATTGGCGCAAAAGTGCCGGAGCACTTAACTCGGGGCGCCTCTCGAGTCCGCACAATCACACTGGGTGCCGCCCACAGCCTCGCAGCCGCTGCCCGCCACCGCGCAGACCGCTCTCAATAGATGTCAAGGCGCCGGCGCCGAGGGCAGCGCTCTGTGACGACCGGTGTCAAAGGACTGGGCGTTAGGGATAGGTGGCAGGATGGGAAGGAGAGGCAAAACGTTTGGTGGCATGGATGAATTGGTACACCGCTCGTGCTACCTCGAATTCGTCCCTGGGTCGTACCGTATTACCGTGTAGTATGAAGTCTAGTTGTTCCTTTTGTGATAAATTGTGTATGTCAATGCCTGTTATACCATTTATTATGTTTGTCATTCTCTCTCTTTCTTGTGTGTACTTTGGACATTTTAGTAAGTAATGTCCTGTGTTCTCGTTAGTTCTGCCTTGACAGTGGTTGCAATATGGAGATTCAGTTTTTTGTATTTGAAATAAATGGGATTTTAACTCTGACATCCCAACCCTTAGACGTGTTAGAAGTGTATTTTCCATTTTCGAACCATAAATATAATACTTTGGTGGTTTTTCTATATGTAAGTGAGACTTGAGATGTTTTTTAAATGAGAATAAAGTTCTAGTCTCTCTCAAGTTCTGTGGCAGTTCATTTATTAGTTTAATTGTACTGGGAAGAAACGAGTTTTTCAGTAGACAGGTTTTGGGATATATTTCCCTTCTGTTATTAGAGTTGCGAAGAAGTCGGTTGTTATTTCTTCGATCAGGGGGCAATAGTTGTTTGATATATGTTGGAGTATCGTCGAGCGTCAGTCGTTGGAAAAATACTATCTTATGCATTTCACGTCTCTTCTTTAATGAAGTCCATCCTAGTTCTCGTCTGAGATTGTCTGTCGGAGTTCTAAATAATGTCGCAGTCACAAGTCTGGCCCCTCTGTTCTGAAGTGTTTCAAGTCGTAAAGTATCGTGTGCTGTTAGCAGTCCGTCGTAAATGATGTCCGCGTAGTCAAAATATGGCAATACATGTGTCGTATATATTTGTTGCAATAAGGTCCTGGGCAAGTAGGAAGCGATACGATAGAGTGGGCTAAGGGCAATGTTAACTTTTCTGATGATGTCGTTGATGTGCTCGTGAAACCTAAGGTCGTTCGAAATTGTCAATCCCAGGTGTTTATGATTAGCAACAACTGGGATGGGCATGGCTGCAAATGTTAGTTTTGGTGGGATTTTCTGTTTGCGTTTTGTGAAATGCTGTTGGAGAGTTTTCCTTGGGTTAAATTGTATCATCCAGTTGTCACCGTACTTGTGGATTTCATTTAGATCTCTTTGAAGTGAGCTTTCAACTGTTTCTCTATTATTAGGAGAGTGTGGGGCTATCAGACAAGCATCGTCGGCGAAGAATAGCATTTCATTTTCGGTTTTTGTTGAAAGGTTATTTAAGTACATTAACGCTAAAAGGGGGCCCAAAACTGAACCATGAGGGCATCCCGCTTGAAGTGGTCGGAGCGAAGATGTGGAATTGTTTATTACTACGCGTTGATGTCGATTTGTTAAGTATGAAGTTAGCCATGGTATAAGGTTTGCCAGACCGAATTCATGTTCACATTTGTGGAGAAGGCCCTTGTGCCAAATTTTCTCGAAATAGCGGCTGATGTCCAGATAGATAATGTTATGGTCCTTCCCGTCGTCAAGGTTTTCATATAACGAATGGGTTAAGTAGAAAAGCTGCAACTGAGTCCCATGTCCGGGCCGGTAACCGCTTTGCCGCTCCGTTAGTAGGTTGTGTTCAGTTATGTGGTTGTAAATACGCTTGAATACTATTTTTTCAAATATTTTCGAGATGCAGCTTAATAAACTGATGGGCCTGTACCCTTCTACATCTGCTGGACTACCTTTGTTTTTAAAAATTGGTTTCACGTTTGCAATTTTCCAGCTCTTTGGGTACTGGCTTGTGTCGATAGACTTATTGAACAGTTTTGAAAGTGGTTCAGCGAGAATAACTGCCGCTAACTTTATTATTCTTACTGGTACCTCATCGGAACCGGTTGATTTATTTACATTTAATCTATTTATTATACTTAATACTTCTCGTTCTGATATTTTGGCCGCCCTTAATAATGGGACTTCTGGATAGTCCTGTGGCTGAATCACTCTCGTTTCGCTGTCTTCAAGATGTGATTGGGCGGCAAAATATGCATTTAATAAATCAGCTTTCGCCTCATCATGTTCTATTAAGTTGTTACTGTTATTATTGTTATTGTTGTTATCTTCTAGAACACTTGGCACAAGTCTATACCTATAGTGCACGGTATCACATTGTGCTACACTGAACTATTTGCAAATTTATCAATATATCGTGTACCCCCCCCCCCCGTCCGTGTCTGATACTGACCAAGATCGTGCACCCGATCCCGTGTCTGCAGAAACTGACCATATTGCACGCTGGAGCCGCCGGCGTCGGCCGGGTGACAGCCGGCGCCGTACGGGGCAGCAGGGCCCGCGGCCGTCACGTGACCGGCCGGTGACGCGCCGCTCGAGGTCACGTGGTGCTGGGCGTTGAGTTGTTTCCGGAGCCGCGCCCGTCGGTTACTGAACCACACCTGAACGCGTGCCTCAGTCAGCGTGGTCCTGAGAACAGAGCATTTGCAGTGTTATGAGTGAATTCCAATAAAGGGTTGTGTAAAATAGGAACCATTGTGATAGCGTCACACTTTATGCATGAGTGCTGCGGCGCTGGGCCATACACTGTATCACGTTACGAACGCATTTGTCTTGACAAGATCGGTGTTTTATAGCAAGAAGCTCAAACCAAACATAAAAGAACTACTCTCACAGCTCCAATATTGTTGGTTTGCTTGCTAGACGATTTCAAATTAACCAGTCGTTCTAACTTCCTTTCACATGTCAAGCTACAAGATGCCTCATCAACGAGCACTGAGCAGGACCATCAAGACCATTTGAGAGAGGACTTACTTGATGGCGAGCTTCTCTCGCGTGTAGACGTCCGGATACTGGGTGACGTCGAAGGCCCTCTCCAGTTCCTCCAGCTGCTCGGCGGTGAAGGTGGTGCGCGAGCGGCGCTGTTTCCTGTTCAGCTTGATGCCCGGCTCGCTGTCGTCCTCGCTGCCGCTGCTCTCACCACCTGAGGAGAGAGAGGGGAGAGTGAGAGAGAGAGAGAGAGAGAGAGAGAGAGAGAGAGAGAGAGAGAGAGAGAGAGAGAGAGAGAGAGAGAGAGAGAGACGAGAAGGCTGTGAGGGAGAGCGGGTGAAACCAGGCAAAGAAGAGCAGATAAGAATGAAGGGGTTCGGGTTGCCGAATGTGGACATTTTATAGCACAAGTCGCGATGCGAGTCGTTTGAAGAGTGGTCGTGTAGAGCAATTGAGAAAACGACGACAGTAATGACATTCATGGCTCGTATTTCTCCAGCTGTCAGTGGTTTTTCCCCGGGACCAGCACCCTTCAGCGGCCTTTCTCTCGGCATCACCATTTTACAGACGGCCACAATCCGACGAATCAGCGCGGCCATTATAGGAGAGAAGACCGAGCTTTAACACCGCACTAACCGCCAATCAGACTTTTTGTGCGTCCGTCTCCGACCAATAGCGACTCGCACGCAGACGACCCGGCGACCTGAGCTGTGACCTCTGACCTCGGCCGGCCGTCCGCCGCCCCCGGCCGGCACCCCACCAATCACAGCCGGAGACCAGCAAAAACGCTTGCATGCCCAGTTGGCGTTAGTATTAGAGAAATTAGAGCGCGATTAGGCGACGGGTGCCGCCGCTGGTGGTCCGATCACGTGGCCGGTCACGTGACTCGGCCGGTGGTCCGCTCTGTCGGCCGTGGGGCAGGTCACGTGACCCCCGGGCTGTGTTCGTGGGTGGATCACGTGAGGTGGTCGACAATGGTGAGCAGTGGGTTCCGCAGAGCGGCGAGAGGAGAGCAGTGCGGCAGGCTCGAGACACAAAGGGAACACCGGTCGAGGGAAGTGGAGTAGCGGGAAAGGGTACCGGTACCCGGCAGATACGTACAGCACCATGAATGTCCCGCCGACAGCAGAGGTGCTGTAAAAGTCGGCAATAAATCCACGGCGGACAGAGCGGCTCAGAAAACCGGGAGCTCCCCGGCGTGGTCTAGCCGAGCGACCACCATCAGCCGTGTCCAATCCGCCTTTGTGGGGATTTTTCCCGCCAGCTCCCGGTGTAGTGACTCGACAGAAGTCCGTCCTCTAAGAGCTTCACTACCTGAGCGGGCCTCAGTGGATAGGGGCTGCCGCCCTGTGTGGGCCGAATATTGTAGCCATTCATCAGTGTTAGGAACGTTTTTAGTAATCCGAGTTACAAAGCATCTTTAGAATGTTATATCATAAGTCCTTTCGCACTCTGGAATGCTTACAATATTACGTTTCGCTGAGGCAGCCGTCAACCCTCAAGTTTGCTTTGCAGCGGAGTGAATGCACTGCAATTGCGGAAGATTATCCACCTCAATTTCAAGGAAACTGCTTGCGAAAACAGTTATTGACACTGTGTTTTATGGAAGTGATCCAAGTTGTATTCAATCTGGCAATTGGCATTTATATTTTGTTAGGAGCTGGGTCTTCAGAACTGCAGCACACAAGTATCAGCCATATTCGCCACTGACCTATATTCGCCCTTCATATAAAATTTATTCATCTCACTCACTAGCCTTTCAGTTTTCACATTAGTGTCAGCTATCAAGTCTCGTTACTCACATGTTGCAGATAAGACACCAAGTCACCCTGACCCAGTTGTTCTTAGACCCTCCCTGTTCCACCCCTACAGCCCGGACAGCCAGAACCCCCCCCCCCCCCCGGGACATACCTACGCCCATGGCTCAGCCCTCTTCCTCTCCCTGCTTGACTATGAAGCGAGGTGTGTGGCCGCCCCGCCGGTGATTAATAATTGGTTGGCATCGGCGGCAGCCGAGGTGCCGGTGCCAGGAGGAGGGGTAGGAGGGGAAGAGCGTGAGGAGCAAGGGAGGGCAAGAGGAGGAGAAGAGTAGTAGAGGAGGAGAATGGGAGAGGTGGTGAAGGGGAGGAGAATGTGGAAATGAGGGAGAGAAGAACGAGAAAGAAGATGGTGCACAGAAAATAAGAAGAGAATATTAGGACAGAATATGCACAGCAGCACAGAACATGGGCGTTGGGCAGGGTTGTGCTCGACTCAAAAAAATTTGCCGACTCGACTCATATTTCAACTTCAGAATGCCCTGACTCAACTCTGACTCAAACAAGGAGCTGATTTTTTCCCTTGACTCGACTCATGACTCAAGCGGCTCAATGAAAATATGAGTTGACTCAAACTTGACTCAAATTTTTTGTTGAGTCAAGTGTGTTGACTCAAAATTGACTCACATAAAAAAGTTGTTGAGGGGGGGGGGGGGGGTGAAAAAATCCGGCAGCAGGGCCAGGCCTAAGTTGTTGAGCGGGGGAGAATGAAAAATTATACTATATATTGTTTCTAGAAAGTTTAGTCAGCTGACTCATGTTCCTAAATGTTTTTGACTCAACTCAATGTCAAAAGTTATTTTACTGACTCAACTCTGACTCAACTCAACACCTTAATATTTTTGTCCGACTCAACTCTGACTCAACTCAACAGCTCAACATTTTATCCGACTCGACTCAAATCTGACTCATTTGAGTCAGAGTTGAGTCAAATTTCTGACTCGACTCATGAGTCAAGCACAACCCTGGCGTTGGGCATACCATCAACTGGACCTGCAGATTCGGGAACATATTTTTGTCCACCGGCGACCCACTCGGGGCCGGGGGTGGTCTCCGTTCCTCGCCTGGCACTCCGACCCGCGTAGGAGCAAACTCATTTCAGGCGGCCACCACACCCGGCCACGCCCAACAGAGACCGGTGCTGCACGTTAGAGATGCCAAGTTCCGTACATTATCAACACTCTGCCTACCAAAACTGACACTGACTTTTGTACGGCACCGCAATGGTTTTTGGGTGACCTAAGTAGGTATCATTTCCTACATAGTGGTACTTTGGGGGGAGAGGGGAGGCAGGCGACTTTATACAGTCCTTCAGCTCGAGCTCAACGCTGCACTTGAAATGAGAATGTACGTACTTTGAGCATTTGCATCGCTACTTCACATGCTATCACGGTTCCTATTAATTAGCAGAGAAAAAAGAGAATGGAGAATGCCGTATATCACGAGCATGAACGATTGTGTCGCTCCAGAAAACTTCAGTGGTGGTCTGGGCCAATCAGGTTTGGGCGGAGCTGCATTGCAAAAGTAAATTGAAGCCAGTTTAGCTGAATCATCTGTTTGTAAGTGCATCCTAATATCGTCAGACATGAGCCAACGTGTCATTTGCCATCTGCTTTGATTTTTTAAATAGTCCTTAGCAGTTAGCACGCTTCACGCTTGCAGAGACCAGCTCCGTCTATAGCCGCGTTTACAAGGGGATTTTTGCAAGCTAATAGCTCCACCCGTTATGTCGCAAAAGATGTCAATGGTGCTTTACGATTTACAAAATTATCCACTCTAAATATACAAAGATCACTGCATCGAAATTATTGCAAAATAAATGAGCTAGAGCCTCGTCAAAAATGCTATGCAAACGCGACTTATGGGAGGTGAAGATCACCCATAGACGACCAAGCATCATGGATGCTTGGTCCGCCTTCAAGTACTATCTTATTCAAACATAAGGCTCGATGTCACTAGTTTGTTGAAATGCTGTCAGCGGCAACTGGCACGCTGATGGTACAAAAACTGCTGCCATTGTTTGCGCACACACTGTCATGTGCGTTATCAATGTACATAGGATCCCACGCATGACGCACGCCATCATTTGCAATCCCCAATCCCTCCCCGTATGGTCTCTGCGTGTGCGAACACGCTACACTCTACACCATTGCTGAGCTCTGACCGGCCGTGGGGCGCTGCGAGGGGCCGGTCGGGCGCGGTTCGACCGCTGGCAGTCGCGGAATGCCGGGCTGGGTCGCGGCGGGGCGCCCATCTAAAGTGACAGACGGACCTGGCCGCCCGGCGCGACCCGCCAGCCGCTGAAATACAGGCTCAGATGTGCTATCGCTCGCCGAGCGTGGGTCACAGCGCTGGTGGGTGGGAGGGGAGGGGTATCCTCAGCCCGGGTCGGCTTGCTCGCACTCTTGTAACCTGTCTGCAAACACGTGTCTCCACTAACGGGGTGGAGAGGGGGACGACCCAGGGGGCCCGCTGACCTCTGTTGGACGACAAAACTGATCAGTCGGAACATCCGCTATCAGTGGGTTTATCGCGGGGTGGCGGGACTGGTTAGTTTTGTGTGCCGTGTGGGGACAGCGGGAAAGGCGCCGTTCCTTACCTCTGTTGAATGATGGGGGAATTAGCGAACCCAGGGGAGTATTAAGGACATTAGGAGCCTTTGGTGGGGACACGTGTCCCCTAGCGCCGTCTGGGATCTCGCCAGGGGAGGTCCCTAATCCCTCATCAAAGGACCGGCGGCCCCGCTAAGCCCAGCTATCATGTCCCCACGGTGAAAACGGTGTCTGGGCCACGGGCACAGATTTACCGCAATTTAATATAACGGGATCGGCCGTGTTCATTCACGCTCGCTTATGCCTTATCACAGTGATGAATAATGATCTGACTATAAATAAATGGTTTTACAAAGCTTGAAATTTTCCGCGACCTCGCCGTAAATGATGTTATATTAGCGCTCTGCAAATTAATCGGTCATAGGTAGATGAGGTCACGCTCCTTTGCCAGATGTTTGCTACAACGGTTACTGTTGAGTTATAACAAGTACTGAATTCTTTCACCAATTCTTTATGGCTGTCGAAACAGGGTGCTGTAGCACAGGAGCTCTAAGCCCATTCATTAAAGCAGATGTTACATGGGATGGCAACCGATCTTTTTTTTCTTTACTGCCGTGTCTCTTTCATCAATAGACCATAAACCAGCCGCGGTTCCGGCCCGGCACTACGCTCACAGTCACCATGATTAGGTAAGTACCCTCACCACCACAACCATCACCATCACCACCAACCACTGCATCTACCTTCAACCACCCCCACAGCCACCGCCACCGCTGCAGGGCTGGCTCCGCTGTTTGCCGGGTCCGGAACAGTGCGTCAACACCAGACAGCCGGCGGCCGGCCGC